GTGCATATAAGCAAGTTTCTGTCATTAGCAAGTTAGCATGTGCCAGCTGTAAGAGCTGGTAGCTGGCTGTGTACATGTGCTGGCCCAATTCAATTGCAAGGTAATATGATTTAGCTTAAATATCTTTATTTGAGGCTTTTAAGCTAAGATGCATTACCTCACCATTTGGGCATGCTTAAGGCAGCCATAGGGACACTTAGCAGAGCCCAGCTGATGAGTGTTAGACTGTGAAGCTGCTGAAAACCTGGTCTCATGCCTGAACTTTGGGTTATCTGGGACAGTAAAACCCTGTGAGTTGGATGAATAAGCAAGTGAATCGCTTCTCCAGCCTCTTGCTGATTTTGGCTACTGTAGCATCAAAATAAAGTGTGGTCTTACACGGACAGAAAAGATACTACCTTTACTGCAGAAAGCAGCCTCAACCTTAATTTAAGCCATAAGCATTTGTTGGATCTGTGCTGATTTTAGTGCTGAAAACGAAAACTATTAGGAAAACTCAGGAAACAAAATAGCTGTCAAAACATGGTGTAGGGTTTTCTAATGAGCAATATTATTTTGGGCTAAAAGTGACTAAGAAAGGGGCCAGTGTTTCAGCAAATATATTGTTAAGCCAATAGGAAGTACTGTTTTTGAAAGGTGTATCTCACAGCTAAAATCAGGAACACTCATATGCCGCTTCTAAGCAAAACTGAAGTAAATTAGCAAAATTCTAAGCTTTTCACTCAGGAATGAGACTGCACCTCTCTTCTGATAAAATAAAGAGGCGCTGGGCATAGGCCCAAGCAGGACAATTTCTGTCTCATTGAATTATTAGCATGATTCTTGCTGTGGTTTTGGATGGAGAGAACCAGCACCCTTTCCAACCATGCCCTGAGCACGGTGGGGCGCCGGGGACAGCATGAACCAGCAACCATTCCCAATGGGCAATGTGAATGTTACCTAAGCCTCCCTTACCCCAGTTAAAGCAAAGAGTAGCATTTGATTCACTGCATAGGAGAGAAAACCAGATTGATTTTCTAAGGCAAATCAGATGATTGATTTTCTAAGGCAAGTTTCCTATTTCTGTGCTCATCTTGCTGTGAACATTCTTTTCAGGAGAAGATACACCCAAAGTTATCATCGTAATTTTTAACCTCCACGGTGAGTTGCTAAAAATCACTGCAGCTGGAGCTGAATGGGGAAGCAACTTCCCAAGGCATGGGACATGCTGAACGCAGCAGTCCTAGCAAGAGAGACATGCTTCTTAGGGGGGGTATGACTTGGTAAAGCCTAGGACAAGGTGCTTCAGAGCCAAGGATGAATTTCCTTCAGTTAGAGGGATTAGACAGGGCACCAAGTCTCTAGAGGAGCTCAGACTCTTTAGTACCTGACTGCTTTCGGGGTGCGCAGCAAAATCCTTCCCTCTCGAAGCTTTCCCAGCAAAACAATACCAACAGAAAAAAAGAGAAAAGCAGGGCAAGAAGTCAGGCTACACCCCTGCTCCCTGGGAAGAGTTGTTTCCAAGCAAAGAGGAGGGAAGAGGGCTTGTGAAATTCATGAAGAATGTTGTCATGGGAAGAACTTAAATGCTATGTTCGTGGGCACCAAAAAAATGCTGTAAAACAGATTAACTAGGGAACTAGTAAACCTGGGGTGTCAGCCTGGGCTGAATGGGTGAAGCTCCATGAGTTTCTTCTCTTTTTTTTTTTTCTTTCTCTTTAAATTCTGTAGGCCAGATGCTGATGATTTCTTTCCTGTCCCTTCCTTATTAATCAAGAAACACGGTAATTAAATGCTGAATTGCAGGCATTTCTAGTACACCACACAAAGCACTTGTGTGAAAAAGCTGAGCCATCACATTCATAGCTTATTTTTCCATGGTTGCTGTAATGATACATTCAACTGCAATACTTGTTAGGTCCTGAGGGTTTTCTTGATGAGTGCGTTTAGTATTTAAAAATCTGATTGACTGATAATTATTAAATAAAATGGAAATAATGTTAGGGAAAAGTACTTCTTGCTTATTTTCCTGCCTAAAATGGCAATGCTTATTCCACTGCTCTTGGCATACGCTCTAAGGGTTCTGGTGGGGGGAAAAAATAATCTCTCCTTGAATGGACCACGCAGCTCTTCTGTCACGGGTGAGGTTGTGGTCTGTCCTCACAGTGCAAAAGCCAAGGTGGAAGGGGAGAGACCTGCAATGTACCTGGAGCTGTGGGCTGATTTCCTCCGTGCAACCAGTGAGTTGTGACTGTTCAGGCACTGCTTGCTTGCTGGCCTGGCCTGAGCTATGTCTGCCTGTTTCAAGATATCATGGCTAAACAAATGAAAAGAATATGTATATGCATAGCCATACTGAAATACAAATACTGATACAAATTGGTCACTAGCTAATTCTGAGGTAATCAACAAAAAATATTAATTCCTTATGTTCCTTGGCTTTTTGTCCTGGACTTGTTGCTTTACTCTGCAAGGAATGCATAACAATTTATCTTCTACCACTAACAACAAAACACTCGATTAAGATGGGCTGAGAAAATGCAATGTGTTTTGGAATTCCTATTTTAGATGGAAAAATTAAAGAAATGCAACCTGTGAAGAAAATCTCTCTGCATTCTGAACCACTTTCTTTTGTAGCTGTTCTTTGAAAGGAGGAAAATATCTTACCTGTGAACAATCCCGTGGCAGTGGAGATGCTCCACTGCAGACAGAATTTGCCTGGTGTACCTCCTAACTTCCCTTTCCGCCAGCCTCTTTCGGTCACAGATTCTGTCCATGAGGTCCCCGCCAAGGCACAATTCCATCACCATGTAATAGGAGTTGTCAGTCTCCAAGGTCTCATATAGCTGAACAACATGGGGGTGCTTGATCATCTGATGTATCCGTGGCTCCCGCTTCATATTTTTTAAAATGTAGGAATCCTGCTTGGCTTTTTTCTTGTCAATGACTTTTATGGCTACCTAAATTATAGAATATATGCAAATTGGAAACACCTTCATCGACCTTTGCAACATAGACTTGTTTTCAAAAGGATGGACACTGAGCTGGGATGTGCGAGAAGCTGATTTTGACATGGGCATTGATAATTGATATCACAGAGGGATATCAATCGATATCATAGAGAATTTGCCAACTTATACAAATAGGGAAGCTACTGAAGTCATAAGAAAAATAAAAAAGCAAAAAGACCATTCCAGTGTGATAGTGATCCACCTTTCCACAGATACAGTTTTTTAGCCCAGCTGAACGAGAAATGATAAATGGTATCTATGTCCTGTCATGAAAATGATTGCTGTTGGAAGAGCTAGCTTTTCAGTAAGTATTGTCTATAGCTTTAAAAGTCAGGTGCACATTCTTAGTTACACAATGAGGATTACTGGAAAACACAGATTTGAAATTGCCTTTATGCTGTTATACCATGTTCTTTCAGTAAGAGGATATCTTTGTTGTCTGTGTTGTTTTATAATTGTGAAAACGCTTGCAGTCACATGCATATTTGCACATGTGACTGATTATATATGAACAATAAACTCAATTTATGGGATTGTTTATTAGGATAAGGTTCAGAGGATAATTCACAGAGTAGATTGTGGTTTACAAACTAAATGAAATTCTCTGGCATAAGTTACTGTGAAGTTACCTGCATTGCTAGAGAGTGGCACGCTCTCATTAGGAGCTTACCTTCTCCCCTGTGGGAATGTGCAGCCCCTCCATCACCTTGGCAAAGGAGCCCTTGTTGATCATTTTGCCGACTAGGTAAGTCCCAACTTGTTTGGTGTGAGGGAAAGTCTCTCCAGCTGCTTGGGGCCTCTTGTTGAAACAAGCAGGCATTTTAATACTCCTAATGTCTTTCTGCCATTCTGCTAAGGTCCCATCCAAGCCATCGGTATCTGTCATTTCGCCATCCAAGGCTGCTCTGATTGCTGAGGGCATTCCCGGCGAGTTGGAGCAATAGTGCTGCCTTCTAGATGTGGCTTCTGAGTCACAGCAGCTCCAGGCGTGAGGTCTGTGCCTCTTGTGCAAGTGCCATCCTGCGCTGGTCATGCAGCAGCGAATCCTTTCCCTCTGAGACTCCGTTTTTGTCACTGATCTCCTGGGTACTCAGAGCTGCTCAAGCAGAACCAAGAGGTGGATTATTAACCTAACCTGATACATGATGTCAGTTAATGTCCCAGAACTGCGAGGTCGGATGACACATAATCCCAGCAGCACCCTGGAATCAACTGCTCTTTTCCACCTACAAAACTTCTTTAAACACAAGCTCAGTGCAAGTTGCACCAAACTGAAGTAAGGGTTAGCTTTCTTTGCATGCATTTTGCAGATGTGCAAGTGCATGATTTTGTTATAAAAACACTGTGATAGCTATTTTGAATGCCAAGTAGAATTGCACATCAACTGATGCTGTGCAAGTGTGTAAAATGTGTTCACAGGCAGCATCTCATTTAAGACCCAGAATCTTAGCCTGAATAGAGGATATACAAGGGCCTCTTGCATTCCTCTGAAACTTTCTTTTTTATAAAATCTGCTGAGGAGATTTTCCTCCTACAGCAATGACTTGTAAGCACAAGAAGAAGCCTTTCTTTCCATAGCATATTATCTATGTCTGTCTTTATTGCCTTTTTTGGTTTTTTTGTTTGTTTTGTTTTTTGTTTTTTTTTTTCAAAGTCATGGAGAGGAAAGATCCTTTCCAGACAGTGCTCTCACATACCTGCAATTTGAGCCATCTCTCTCAACTGACTGCAGTGAAATCTTAGGAAACCAAAGCTCTTCTCATAACTTGCTTGATGATGAAACCTTTCTTCACCCTGCGTTACTTGGAGATGAACAATAAGCAATGTCCTACTCGCCTCATTTGACTCATGAAGCTCAGGAAGTGCAAAAATTCCCCAGGATGAGTGAAAATGGGATGGAATGAAAAAAGAAAGTCTTTAAAATCTAAAATGGATTTACTCTCATTTTACAGCTTAAACAATTGTGGGCAAGTTTAAGGCATCAACATCTGTATGCAGCTGCTTGCAGTCACAGGATAGCCCCTTGCCTTCTAGTCTCTAACTGAAAGATAAAGTCTCATTAAGCTGAGCAGGCTGTATGCTCAGTTGCCATTCTTTCAGCTATATAAACTGCTCTGCTGTAAAGGGACTTTGTTTGCTGAACTAGGAGGCTTTATTTTCTATTCCTTGCAGAAATTCAGAGACAGAGAGACATGATTTTCTGAGGAGAGAACTGGGAAATTCTCATTGATTTGCACTCACTATTTACTTTGCGTCTTCCTAAACTGCTGTTCATTGACTCTTCCACTAAAAACAAGAAGAAAAAAAAAGTTAGGGGAACCACTGCATGGAGCAGAAATCCCATATTTCTGGCACATTTCAGAAGAAAGGAAAAAACCTCTTTAAAAATATAACAAACCTTAAAACATGATAGCTGACTAAGTTAACTATTGCTATTGTTGGGGGAAGGCCCAGCCTGACACCTTGAAAAATGCTGAAGTCGAAAAGCTTCCAAATACCTTTCACAGTAATTTTTTTGGCACAGTGGCAAATTAAAAAAGAGAGGCAGGGCAAAGGGAGCAAAAACAGTGTATCTCTGTGCGGGGGAGTCCACTGCTCTTACTGATCCCAAGCTGAATGAAGCTGAAATCCAGTGTGAGAAGGGAACCGTCAGCCTGTTAGTTATGTCTATATTTTGTGACATAGCAGGTTGTTGTATTGCAATATGAGAAGAAAAGTGTGAGAAAAGACCACCATCAGATCTCTGATGGAAGAGAGATGCCATGAGGTGCCATGAGTGTCAGCAAGGAGGTTTAGCACAGGAAGAAGAATGACCACTTTGGTGGCATCAGAAATACCCATCGACTTCCCCAAACTAGCCCCAAGACAAACACTCTCCTCTCTTTAGTATCTTTCATACATCAGGGCAAAGTGATACTGCCTTGAGAAATAAAAAATGAAGCAGTGAACCCCCAGATCTCAAGAAGGCGTTCAGTTTTCCTAGCAGTAAGTGAAAAAAAAAAAGTGTTTTTGCAGGAACTGGAGACTAATTTCAGGTTTGAGAAAACAAAATTTGCTTTATCATGGCATATTCTCAATAGTCCTTTAGAGAAAACTGAAAAGAGAAAGTTTATGCAAGTGTTTTCCACAGTATCTGTGCTACCGATGTAGAAAGTATGAGGCCATGCGTGTGAGGGAGTTGCTGTCTGCAGTCAAACCAGCTAATT